GGATGGAATTCCAGTGGGATGGGGTGACCCTCAGGAAGGAATTCCATTGGGAGGGAATTCCATTGGGATGGGGTGGCCCTCGGGATGGAATTCCATTGAGATGGAATTCCACTGGGATGGAATTCCATTGGGATGGAATTCCACTAGGATGGAATTCCATTGGGATGGAATTGGGATTCCCAATTCCATTGGGATTCCCAATTCCATTGGGATGGAATTCCATTGGGATGGGGTTCCATTGGGATGGAATTCCACTGGGATGGAATTCCATTGGGATGGGGTGGCCCTTGGGATGGAATTCCATTGGGATGGGGTGGCCCTCGGGATGGAGTTCCATTGGGATGGAGTTCCATTGGGATGGAATTCCATTGGGATGGAATTCCATTGGGATGGGGTGACCCAGTGGGGTATTCCGCTGGCATTCCACTGGAATTCCATTGGTGAGCCCCGATCCCCCCGGACACCCCCAGCACCGGGGACGCTGTGCCTGCGTCACCCCCGGAATCCGGGCACGGGGCACCCCCCCTTCACCCACCCCCTCCCGATTCCCGATTTACGGGATCCGGAACGGGAAATCCGATGGAAAGGGAGCCTGGAAGTGATTCCTGTCCATGGCCTGCCTCCTCCTCCTCCTCCTCCTCCTCCTCCTCCTCCTCCTCCTCCTCCTCCTGGGCTCCAGGATGGCCGCGGGGACACCGGGGTGACCGTGGGGGACAGGATGGTCCCGGCCACCCCCGAGGGGGACACAGCCCCGGTGTCCCCGCGGTGGCATTGGGGACATCCCTCGTATCCCCCTGACCCGTTCCCGGCATCCCCGATCCGGCCGGGAACGCGCTCGGGAATCTGAACCGGGGCTGGACCCTCTCCCCGAGCCAATCCCCCCCCCAGTCCCCCCAATTCGCTCCCCCCAAACCCCGCTGGTGACCCCCCGAAAATCCCCCACGGGTTCCCCCCGACCCTTGAGGTGTCCCCCGACGCCGTCCCCAAGCCAGGCCATGCTCAGGACCCCCCAAAAACCCCCCCGAGATTTTGGGGGGCCTCCCTCTCCCCGCAGGGAAGGGAAACCACCCTCCCCTCCCTCTCCCCTCCCTCCTCCCGAGGGGTCCCGATCCCAACGCGGCGGGATGTCGGGATTCTCCCCCAAAACACAGGATGACGGGATTTTGGGGAGCTGGAACGCGGGCTGGGCTCAGGAGCTGCTGCTCCAGGGGTTCCCCAGGGTGGGAATTCCACGGGCGTGGAAGGAGACGTCGGAGGGCGGCAGGGGTTGGGTGACGGCGGGTGTTTATTCAATACAAACAAAGGGGTTTTTCCCGATTTTAGGGAAGGGGGATCCAGTTTTGGGGAGGGGGATCTGATTGTAGGAAAGGGGATTTGATTGTAGGAAAGGGGATCCGATTGTAGGGAAGGGGATCTGATTGTAGGAAATGGGGATTTGATTGTCAGAAAAGGGGATCCGATTGTAGGAAAGGGGATCCGATTGTCAGAAAAGGGGATCCGATTGTAGGGAAGGGGATCTGATTGTAGGAAATGGGGATTTGATTGTAGGAAAGGGGATTTGATTGTAGGAAAGGGGATTTGATTGTAGGAAAGGGGATTTGATTGTAGGAAAGGGGATCTGATTGTAGGAAAGGGGATTTGATTGTAGGAAAGGGGATTTGATTGTAGGAAAGGGGGTCTGATTGTAGGAAAGGGGGATCCGATTGTCAGAAAGGGGGATTTGATTGTCAGAAAGGGGGATTTGATTGTAGGAAAGGGGGATCCGATTGTAGGAAAGGGGGATCTGATTGTAGGAAAGGGCATCTGATTGTCAGAAAAGGGGATCCGATTGTAGGAAAGGGGATCCGATTGTAGGAAAGGGGGATTTGATTGTAGAAAGGGGATTTGATTGTAGGAAAGGGGGATCCGATTGTTGGAAAGGGGATCTGATTGTAGGAAAGGGGATCTGATTGTAGAAAGGGGGATTTGATTGTAGAAAGGGGATCCGATTGTCGGAAAGGGGGATCCCATTCTCAAAAAGGGGGATCCGATTGTCGGAAGAAGGGGATTTGTTGGGATTCGGGGTCACAGGGCCGTGCCCTGCGCGGGCGCCTTGGCCTCGCGGGGGTAGAACTCGGCCAGGACGTTTTCGGGGATGCGCTTGAGGAGCTGCTTGGGGAAGATGCGCAGGAGCTGCCAGCCGATGTCCAGCGACTCGAAAACGCTCCGGTTCTCGTAGGGCCCTGCACGAGGAACGGGCCGGAGGCTTCGGGCTTCGGGAGAGGCTCTCCCAGATCCCAAATCCCCATTTTGGAACCGGAGGCTCACCCTGGGAGATGAAGTGCTTCTCGAACTTGTGCAGGAACTCCAGGTAGAGGAGGTCGTCGGCGGACAGGGCCTCCTCGCCCACCACGGCCTTCATGGCCTGCACGTCCTTCCCGATGGCGTAGCAGGCGTACTGCGGGATCCCGGGATTCCAACGATGGATCGGGACGGGCACGGACCCCACAGCCCGGCCGGTGGGACACCTCCCACCAGCCCAGGGTGGATCAAAGATCCATCCCAACCCGGCCTTGGGCACTGCCAGGGATCCAGGGCCAGCCACAGCAAATCTGGGAATCCCATTCCAGCCAGGAATTCCTTGCCAAGATCCCAGCCCAAGCTCCCCTTTCCCAGTGGGAGCCATTCCCTGGCTCCTGTCCCTCTGTCCCTTGTCCCTCTCCTGGAGCCCCTCCAGGCACTCTGAGCATTCCCTGGATTTTCCCTTCTCCAGGGGAACATTCCCAGCTCTCCCAGAGCAGACGGGCTCCAGAATCCTGGAATGGGACCTTAAATCCCATCCCATTCCACCCCATCCATGTTTAGGGACACCTTCCCCTCTCCCAGGTTGCTCGTGTCCAACCTGGCCTTGGGCATTCCCAGGGATTTGGGGCAGCCCCAGCATTCCCAGGTGCTCTCACTTTCCCTGGATTCTCCTCACATCCCAATGAAGGCAGCTGAAGATTTGGGATTTAGGACACCCCGTGGAGCTCAGTGGGATCCAATCCTGAACCTCTGGAATCCCGTGGCCATTCCTGGGGCTCTGAGCATTCCCTGGATTTCTCCCTTCTCCAGGAGAACATTCCCAGCTCTCCCAGCCTGGCTCCAGAGCAGCTCCAGCGCTTGGAGCATCTCCAGAACCTCCTCTGGAATTGCTCCAGCAATTCCAGCACGAGGCACACGAGTGTCCTGAGCAGCCTGGGCAACCCCAAAAATTCCAGATGTGCTGGATGCCCCAAAAACCCCAAACGTCCCAAAAACCTCAAGAACCGTGGAAACCCCGGGTGCGCTGAGGATCCGGGACAATCCAGACACCCCAAACATCCCCAAAATCTTGGGAACTCTGGGGGGACAGGAGGGTGCCAAACGCCCCCCGCGGGTGTCCCCAAGCCCTCACCAGCTGGTTGGACACGTCCCCGTGGTCCTTCCTGGTCATTCCCTCTCCGATGGCCGATTTCATCAGCCGGGACAGGGACGGCAGAACGTTGATGGGGGGGTAAATCTGTGGGGTGAGAGCGACCCCAATGTCCAGCCAGCCCTGGGGGACCCCACCCTGAGCCCCGGCACCCCCGTCCGGGTGGTTCCCAGCCCCGGCGGGTGCCGGATCCATCCCGGGATCCATCCCTGGAGATGGGAAGGGGTTTGGGAACGGACCTGGCGGTTGTGGAGCTGCCGGTCCACGTAGATCTGGCCCTCGGTGATGAACCCCGTCAGGTCGGGGATGGGGTGGGTGATGTCTGGGGTGGGGGGACAAAGGGGTTGTGAGGCCCCCACAGTGGGGCTGGCAGCTCAGCTGGACACGGGACACCGCTGTGGGACATCTGGGGGGTCACCGGGGCAGCGCAGACCCCACCGGGGTCAGCAAGGGGGATTTGGGGTCACCTCCCTGTCCTGGAGTTGGGATCCCAAATGTGAGGGGATGGAGTGGTTGGGTCCCTCAGAGGGGTTTTGGGGTGACCCCCTTGTCCTGTAATAACCCCAAATGGGAGGGATGGGGTGGTTGGGATGGCCCAGAGGAGTTTTGGGGTCACCCTCTTTTCCTGGAGCTGGGACCCCAAATGGGAGGGGATGGAGTGGTTGGGGTCCCTCAGAGGGGTTTTGGGGTGACCCCCTTGTCATGGAGTGATCCAAAATGGGATGAGATGGAGTGATTGGGAGGGGTTTTGGGGTCACCCCCTTGTCCTGGAGCTGGGATCCCACATGGGAGGGGATGGTGTGGTTGGTGTGGCTCAGAGGAGTTTTGGGGTCACCCTCTTTTCCTGAAGCTGGGACCCCAAATGGGAGGGGATGAGGTGGTTGGGATGGCTCAGACGGGTTTTGGGGTCACCTCCTCATCCTGGAGCTGGGACCCCCAAATGAGAAGGGATGGGGGTGATTGGGATGGTTCAAAGGAGTTTTAGGGTCACCTCCTCATCCTGGAGAGATCCCAGATGGGAGGGGATGGGGTGGTTGGGGTGGCTCAGACGGGTTTTGGGGTCACCCCCTTGTCATGGAGTGACCCCAAATGGGAGGGGATGGAATGGCTGGAATGGCCCAGAGGGGTTTTGGGGTGACCCTCTTTTCCTGAAGCTGGGACCCCAGATGGGAGGGGATGGGGTGGTTGGTGTGGCTCAGACAGGTTTTGGGGTCACCTCCTCATCCTTGAGCCAGGGATCCCACATGGGAGGGGATGGAATGGCTGGAATGGCTCAGATGGGTTTTGGGATCACCTCCTCATCCTGGAGAGACCCCAAATTGGAAGGGATGGGGTGGTTGGGATGGCACAGAGGGGTTTTGGGGTGACCTCCGTGTCCTGGAGCTGGGACCCCGAACAGGAGGTGTTTCTGGGGACACATGGAAATCCCAGACCCTAAATCACCCCAGCAGCATCACCACCCCAGGAGCTCCCCAAAACCGAAGCGATTCGGGATTTCCCATCCCGGAGTGGGAAAATCCCGATCTCCCACGGTGTTCCCGTTCCCTCCCGGTGTTCCCGGTCCCGCTGACCGTCGTTGGGCATGGTGAGGATGGGGATCTGGGTGATGGAGCCGTTCCTGCCCTCCACGCGCCCGGCGCGCTCGTAGATGGTGGCCAGGTCCGTGTACATGTAGCCGGGGAAGCCGCGGCGGCCCGGCACCTCCTCCCTGGCCGCCGACACCTGTGGGGTTGGAGGGGTCAGAGCACCCCAAAAAACCACGGGAGGCACGAGGGACGCGAGTGTCCTGAGCAGTCCGGGCAACCCCAAAAAATTCCAGATGTGCTGGATGCCCTAAACGCCCCAAAAAACTCAAGAAGTGTGGAAACCGAAGGTGCGTTGAGAATCCGGGGCAATCCAGACACCCCAAACACCCCAAAAAGCTTGGGAACCCCGAAGACCCCAAAAACCACGGGAGGTACGAGGGACACGAGTGTCCGGAGCAGCCCGGGCAACCCCAAAAACTCCAGATGTGCTGGATGCCCTAAACACCCCCAAAAAATCAAGAACCTTGGAAACCCCAAGTGTGTTGAGGGTTCTGAGCACCCCAAACACTCCAGGCACCCCAAAGACCCCAAAAACCACGGGAGGTACAAGGGACACGAGTGTCCTGAGCAGCCCGGGCAACCCCAAAAACTCCAGATGTGCTGGATGCCCTAAACACCCCAAACGCCCCAAAAACCTCAAGAACCGTGGAAACCCCGGGTGTGCTGAGGATCCGGGGCAACCCAGACACCCCAAACACCCCAGGAACCCCAAAGACCCCAAAAAAACATGGGAAGTCACTTCCAGTTGTCCTTGTCACCCTGGAGCCCCCAAACCCCGCAAGGACCCTGGATTGTCCTTGTCACCCTGAGCGCCCCAAGGACTCTGAGCTGTCCATGTCACCCTGAGCACCCCAAGGATCCTGGATTGTCCTTGTCACCCTGTGCACCCCAAGGGCCCTGGGGTGTCCTTGTCACCCCAAACATCTCAGAAGGACCTTAGGGTGTCCTTGTCACCCTGTGCACCCCAAGGATCCTGGGGTGTCCTTGTCACCCTGAGCACCCCAAGGACCCTGGGCTGTCCTTGTCACCCTGAGCACCCCAATGACCCTGGATTGTCCTTGTCACCCCAAACATCTCACAAGGACCCTAGGGTGTCCTTGTCACCCCAAACCCCACAAGGCCCCTGGGCTGTCCTTGTCACCCTGAGCACCCCAAGGCCCCTGGGGTGTCCTTGTCACCCTGAGACCCCCAAGGATCCTGAGCTGTCCTTGTCACCCCGAGCACCCCAAGGACCCTGGGCTGTCCTTGTCACC